TGCACAGATTTTCATACCTTTCATAAAATTTCTATGGGTGCAATATACAGGTTCAATAGCGCCGTAAATATTTCCGGTACATAAAATTGCATGCAAAAGAGTCGAACACTGCCAGCTCTTTAAAAATATGAGGGTAAATGCATTTGTGTAAGTTCACCATGGCATGAAAGTGGTAGACTAATAAACGGCCAAAGTTAGACAGGTAGATCAGAAAATGATGCTTATAACTTTATTATACCAACAATAAACACTTCATAGTAATTTGGAACGTAAATAATATTGGTTATTGGAACTAAAGTGATTGATAATAAAACTTTTTTATATTTTACGATTGGCACGTATTGAAAAAGTTTAATGTTTTATAGACTGCCAGCATCGATACTGACCGATTAACCGATATTGATGTTTTGTGTTAGGCTTGTTAAGAGATTTGTTTGTAGTCAACATAATATATAGGTAGGTACTCGGAGGATAGGTACTAGGAGGGAAAACATCTCATTTCTCAGAAATATGATAATAAATTACCGAAGTAAATCAACTAACACTACAGCATGTACATGATGGGTGACCGCTTAGTGAACTACAACTGAGCGTTTTCGTGCTTCAAACGACACGTTAAATCGTCCATTTCTATGGTTATTGATTGATAGCAGTCATTAAGGTATGTCAGGGTCTCTCTTGCGGCACCATACTCCTAGACAACGAAAGAGCCCACTCACTATGATACAAAAACAAAAAGATAAAAGAAGATAAATATTACATCAATACAGATAAATATTCATACTTTTTCTTTCCTTTTTATAAAAGAACATTTCACAGTAATAATAATACACATATAAGAGAGCGTATTGATTCCTTAAAGGCCGGCAACACATCTGCAAGCCCTGCGGTGTTGCAGATATCCATGGGCGGCGGTGATCACTTCTTCAGGTGAGCCTCCTGCCCGTTTGCCCCCTTAGTCCCATAAAAAAAACACACACAAATTAAAATATTTCTAATAGCGGCTCACCCTCGCTTCACTCGGGTTTACCTCTAGGAAAACAAAAACAGACCAATTCCACGGGAATAAATATATATAAATACGGGAATATTTTCCGCGATAAAAAGTAGCCTATCTGCGATTTCAGACTATAATCTATCTCTGTAAGAAATTTCATCCAGATCCGTTCAGCCGTTCCGACGTGAAAGAGTAACAAACAACCATACACACTCACAAACTTTCACATTTATAATATTTAATATTAATAATTATTAATATAATATATTAAACTTTTTTGTGAAAAATATTACTGTTAACGTAGAATTACGTCTTAGTTACAATAATTTGTATTATATCTAAAACGTGGATTTAATAATTTATCAAGAAATCTCTTCTAACTATTCATTAATTATATCTATCGAAATATTTCACTTGAGTAATTCTCCCTTACATATACCGGTAAATTCAAGATGCTAAAAGGCGATAATTAAAATCATAATTATAATAACAATTGCTATACTCGTATGTTTGTATGTATTATATTAATTCTGGAATTGATATTTGGATTATTTAGATAACATTTGTGTTTCCTATAATATATTGTATAATAACATACGTTAGATATGAGATTTTACACGTATTTACATATCTATATCAGTAATGTACATATATTAGGTAATCAATAAGCGAGTTCATCCATTGAAGTCTTTTTGTATTCAGCCCTTTTTAACGTCCCATTGCTGGGCACGGGCCTCCCTTCAATACGAGGGGGATCAGGTCATAGTCTACCACGCTGGCCAAGTGCGGGTTGGCGGACTTCACATGTCTTTCGAGAACTTGCTAAGTTGTCTAAGACATGCAGGTTTCCTCACGATGTTTTCCTTCACCGTTAAGACAAGTGGTAATCATGTTGGAAATGATTCGCACATGAAAATATCAGAAGTGCGAGACCCGGGATTTGAACTCGCTTCACTCGGTTTCCCAAGCGAGCTGAGTTAGGGGGCTGTTAGGGGACAGTTTCTGTTTCACCGACAGTTAGGGGTCACCTAAATGTTAAAAGGTTAAAGGTACCCTAAATTTAGGTGCTCGAAATATGGGCTTATAGACAATGGTAAAACGAAATTTAGGGGCTAGTTTAGGGGAATTTTAAGCTAGGGATCACATACGTAGGTGTTAGCTTATGGGTTGTTGGTCCCCCCAACGTGCATTCACCATGTCGTGGCTGGGGGGCCCAGTAGTGCCCGGCAATACAGCCGGGCGCGAAGCCAAGAAACGCACAGGGAGGTGGCCCGCTTCGGTGGGCGGTGGAAGGTGGCCCTCTTCGGAGGTGCTCCTGGTACTTCTCTGATAGCAGAGTGGACCTTGGAGCAACCCCATGGTTGTTGTGGTCAGCTTCGGCAGACCTGCCATCGGGGCGTCGTAGTTGAATGCGTAAGCGATCCTGCGACGCCCCATTAAGACGGGGGAAGGTTTTGTTGGGTTTTAGTAGGTAGTACTGGCTTCGCCGGTGAGTCCCACACTTCGTGCGTAAATGCATTTCCCAACGATAAAAAAAAATGGGTTGTTGGTGAAATCGGGCATATGCTTTCTAGGCGGTGCCATAAAATATAAAAATAAATCTACTATAGGTAGAATAGTAATTTTAGTTAAAAAGGCATAACATATTTGTCATAAAAAATCTGTCCTCTTTTATTTATGTTTACTCTGTCTTGAAAATAGCAATACATAAATATGTGCATAACTTTAAGGAGAACATAATTCTTATAATAAAAATTAGTATGTAAGTTAGATTTGTACTACTTATACTCTACATAAATATATTTTGTAGTTGCACTGAACCCTCCTCGGTGCGCGAGTCTCCCTAATACTTGACTGAGTTTTACAATTTTTGTGTATTACATGTAAAAATATTGGAGATTTTCAAACATTTAAATTAAATTTTCAAAAAAATTGCCTGAAAATTAATTCTTGGCATATTTTACGATTGAACAATTAGCGTTTATGGTTTCTGATGTAAGCGCCATAGTATCGTCCCAAGCAGCTGATATAATATTTGTGAGATGATTTAGTTCTTCAAAACCAGAGATTTAAAGAGTTTGCTTAGTTTAGTTTTTAATGTTCTGCTTTTTTACTTTAACATTAATCAATTTCGAAAATCCGAGTTAAATATTCTGAACACAATTTCAATGTTACAAAGGTTTAACACTTGGTTAATCGGATTTGTGTACGTTACTAAATTTCCTTTGGTTATTTTTAATGAAAATATACATACTTTCATTTCTGTAATCAAAATAAATAACTGTTTAATTAAGTTTACATATGAAAAAGAGGTTTAATTAATTATTTGTTTTATTTCTTATAATTTAAATATACTAGCAACTCACCCTCGCTTTGCTTCGGGTTCGTCCCTAATGAGAAACAGATACAAATATATCCCACAGGAGCCATAGATTTTTCAGGCATAAAAAGTAGCCTATGGACTATTCCAGACTATAATCTATCTCTGTGCTAAATTTCATCCAGATTCGTTCAGCCGTTCTGGCGTGATTGGGTAACAAACATCCATCCAATCTTCCAAATTTATAACATTAATGGGATTAGTTAGTATATGGATACTTAATAGGAACTTATAATATTGGAAGTGGAGATATTACATAGAAATTATGGCATACTAGACATTATAATATATTGGTATAAAAGGGAAGTGTCGAAAACATTGCTCTATTTTGATTAACTTTTTTTTATTTATTAGTCTTTTTCTTTCAAGATGAGATTAGGGCGGTTGTATACTAAAAATCGAGGTATCAAGTACGCAATATGTATCTAATTTATGCAATCAAATTTCTTAACTCAAAAATATCTTCGAAGACATTATTTTTGACGACACGTTTGGCTGAGTTTGTAATGACCCTACTTGCTGAGCCAGCGGTCACGGGTTTGCCCGCTGGGGGCATTCATTTGTGTGACGAGCACGATTGTTTGTACTTCAGTCATGGATGTTTATATTTATAATATGTATGTATCTAAAGTTATATGTGTGTAGTGTATCAACTATCTGGTATCCATAACACAGGCCTTGTAGCTTACCATGGAACTAGATGGTGCTGTATGTTAATGTCCCAACATATTTATTTATTTATCTTAACTCGTATTTAAAAGGCCCAATAAAAGTATTAGTGGTAGAAATAATCGAAAAGCTATAAATAAATCGATACCCACTGTGACGTAATACAATTAAGGCCAACATTATTTATTTACCTACTTATGTTAAGCGTTCATATTAAACATATTTACCTTAACAGCTGTGCTTTCCCATCATTAATCAAATATTTACTCAAAAAATGAAAAATTATAACTTCATGGGGTTTCGTACCCGAAGGGTGCCAACGGGACCCTACTATTAAAGCTCTGCTGTCCTTCTCCCTATCTGTCAGCGAGTTGTAGCTCATGGACCGTAACAGGTAGAGAGTTAAAATTTTCAGAGAGTGTGTATTTCTATAGCCTTTATATAAATAAATAATAAACAACCAAGATATCGAATTTCAAAATGGCCGCTATGCAAACAAAAAAAAATGTAGCGCCTCTCTTGTTTCTTTTACAAAAGTATTTAAAAAGTTCATGGTGTTATATCTTGTAGGATGGTTTGGAACCCTTCGTGTGCGAATCCGACACGCAATTGGCCGATTTCTTTTTTATAATAAATAAATATGTTGGGATATTAACACACAGCTTCATCTAGTTGCATGGTAAGGTACGAGGCTTGTGTTATGTTGATAGTTGAAACACTATACATATATAAATTGAAATACATACATATTATAAATATAAACACCCATGACTGGAGTACAAATATTCGTGCTCATCACACAAATGAATGCCCCCAGCGGGATTCGAACCCGCGACCGCTAACACAGCAAGTAGGGTCACTACAAACCGAGGTAAACGTGTCGTCATATTTCATATGCCTATTCATAATTAACGTTTCGCCCAGATTTAGAAGTAAAATCTAGTTTTATATTTATAATTCTCCCTCCTTTCTAAATTAAATTATTATTAAGTTAAATTATCAACTTCTAAGCAAAAAAAAATCACCATAAAGACATACATATGCACAGATGAAAATAATATTTTACATAATATAACTTATCTTGTGTAAAACTATCGTTACAATTTCATAATAGTAGGTACTGGCTGTGGACTGGTGCTTCGTTTAATTTACCTTTGCAAAATGGCGTAAAATTTCTTTAATAAATCTATACAAATAAATAAAATTGATGATTTGTAGTGTCAAAATAAAAGCATTTTTACTAAATGCATATGAAATTATATTATACGGTACTTATAAGAAAAACACAAACTTTAAAACGGCTGGACTGATTTTGACGGGAACTTCACTGGTAGATAGCTGATGTTATAAGGAATTACTTAGGCTACTTTTATTTTAGGGAAATAATTAAGTTTACGGAAAGCACCCGAGTAAAGCGAGGGTAAATCGCCAGTAGACTATAAAATACAAGGCATTTTTTTTAAAATCGGGCGTAGTAGGCAATCGATGCGAAAGAACAAAAGTTAACAAAAGAACACACAATCTCTTCAGATTTATAATATTAGTACAGAATCTATACTATAGATAGATATTTATATTAATAAGATATTTCTTTCTGATTGTATTCCTTTCAAAGTATTAATAAGTAGGTAGGCAAGTTTTGTATCCTTTCGCTTCTAACGATATCTAATAAAGCAAGCGTGAAATCTTATACAGCTGCCTGAAACCAATCGTAACTTAGTTATCAAGAGTGTTCATCAATATACTGTTACCAAGTAGCTCTTATTGTATTCCTTAAGTTATATTTTAGACTTTTATATAAGCACTAGCGACTCACTCTCACTCCGCTCGGTTTTATCTAAAGATACGTTTTAATGGTTAGAATAAATTTCTCAGAGATAAGTTTTTTCCCGCAGTAAAAAGTATTCTGTATGTTGATCCTGATAAGTGGCTATCATCATACCAAATTTCATCAAAATCTATCCAGTGGTTTTCTCGTGATGCGTTCCCAGACAGACAGATAGACAGAAAAAATTCTAAATCTATAGATTCCGCCTCTATATCGATAATAATGATTATTTCAATAACATTTTCCAAAAAAATAATAATGTATAGATTCGACTCGGAATTTTATTAGGTATATTTATAGAAAACATTTAATAACTACATTTTTTCACGTACATTGAGACAAAATGATTACTCATTCCGTGTTCCGCTTTTTATATTATTATATCATCATCATCATCATCATCTGAGGCATTACAGCCCCGGGTGGGCGTTAGCCTGGTCCAGCAAAGCTCTCCAGTCCGATCTGTTATAGGCTTTCCTTCTCCAACTTGTTACTCCCAAGATCGATAAAGAAGATTGATATCTTGTTCGACGCCGTCCAACCATCTGAGCTTGGGCCTGCCTCTACTTCTGCGGCCCTCCGGTCGGCCTTCTAAAAGGCGCTTGGGTACTCTGGCCTCGTCCATTCGCAACACGTGCCCTGCCCAACGCAGGCGCCCGATCTTTATGGTCTTAATTACGTTTGGCTCATCGTACATTTGGTATAGCTCGTGGTTATAACGCGTTCGCCATCTCTCATTTTCCATCACAGCTCCGAAAATGCGTCTTAGTATTTTCCGCTCAAATACCAACAAGGAATTTTCGTCTTTTTTGCTCAGCACCCAACATTCGGAACTGTAGGTGAGTATGGGTCTTAGTAAGGTTTTGTACAAAAGAAGTTTTATGCTTCTTGAAAGAAGTTTCGAACGAAAGTATCTTAGTAGTCCGAAGTAGCACTTGTTAGCCGCCATTATTCTCCTACTTATTTCTGAAGACACATCGTTGTTATCGGTTACTAAGGATCCCAGGTATACGAAATCATTGACGCTAGCGAAGGTGTTGTTGCCAATATTAACTCCTTGTGGTAGAGTTTGCTGGTCTTTTGACGCTTTCAGGTACTTAGTCTTAGCCATGTTAACTTGGAGACCGGCCTCCGCAGCTGATTTTTCAAGCGCAAGGTATGCACTCTCCATTGCAGGTAGAGATCTACCTATTACGTCGAGGTCATCCGCATACCCTAGAATTTGAACGGATTTGTGGTAGATAGTGCCTTTGGTCTCGATCTTTGAGTCGCGAATACACTTGTCGAGAACGATGTTGAACAGTAGGCACGAGAGCGCATCCCCTTGTCTTAAGCCGTCATTGGTTCTGAAGGGTTCCGATACGCTTGTTTGAACTCTAACAACGCTCTGAGAGTTTCTAAGAGTCATCTCCGTCAGGCGCACGAGTTTTGTTGGGATGCCAATCTCCATCATAGCCTGGTACAGGAAACCTCTGTGCACATTGTCATAGGCAGCCTTAAAATCTACGAAAAGATGGTGAGTGTTCACGTTGTACTCAAACGTTTTTTCAAGGATCTGCCTAAGCGAGAAGATTTGGTCTACTGTGGACCTGTTTGGACGGAACCCACACTGATACTCCCCCAAGCTGGATTCTACATATGGCTTTAGTTTATTAAAAAGCACATTGGCAAAAACTTTATAACCGGTGTTCAAGAGAGATATGCCTCGGTAATTATTGCACTCCAATATGTCGCCTTTCTTATGTAGGGGGCAGATAACAGATGTATTCCAATCATCAGGCATTTTTTCATAGTTCCAAATTTGGAGCACCAGGTGGTGAAACTCCTTCTCGAAACCAGTTCCGGCATACTTTATAAGCTCCCCTTGGATATCGTCCATTCCCGGAGATTTGTTATTTTTAATGGATTGAATTGCTCGTATAGTATCTTCTATAGTGGGGTACAAAGATTCATCAGTTTGTTGATTATTTAATAGACCTTCAGGTACTGGTACAGAAAGTGGACGGGTCTGCACTGAACTGTTAAGGAGTTCACGAAAGTATTCAGCCCATCTCTGAACGATCTCATCTTTATCATTAAGTAGCTGTCCATTCTTACTTCTACAAGCCGTGGTTCTGGGTTTGAATTCTTTCCGTCCCCTATTTACTTGGTTGTAGAAGTTTCTAGTTTCCTTTTGTGTGTAACTAGATGCAATCTCACGTAGTTGTTGTTCCTCGCGCAATCTTTTCTTTTTCTTATGTAGGTGTTTTTCCCGTCTTCTTCGCTCCTTATACTCTTCTCTACGCCTGCGAGTGTACTTCTGTTGCATTAAACTGTACGCATCATTTTTCTCATTAGTGACCCTCTGACATTTATCATCAAACCAGTAATTACGCTTCAGTTTTTCCTCAAATCCCAAAATCTCACCAGCAGCCGTAGATAAAACATCCCTAAGATTCCGCCAGGTACTATCAGAATCGCCAATGCTGTTGCTATTTCTTTCGCCCACTTTCATAAGTTCTCTGTGAACTGTGTCCATATATTTGTACTTGACATCCTGCTCTCTCTTCAGCCTTGTTGTGTCAATCTTTTTCGTTCTTACCGTTTTGGTGTACTTGTACCGTGATATTCGTGCTCTTATTTTGCATACAACAAGATGGTGATCGGAGTCGATGTTTGCTCCTCTACGGCTTCTGACATCCAAAAGATTAGAGCAGTGTCTCCCGTCTATCAAAATATGGTCTATTTGGTTTCGGGTGACGTTATCTGCGGAGACCCAAGTTATCTTATGGATATTCTTGTGTGGAAAGCGTGTGCTGCCGACGACCATTCCTAGGGAAGTTGCCAAATCAATGAGGCGTGTGCCATTGTCGTTAGATGTTTCGTGTAGGCTGTGGGAGCCTATCGTTGGCCGATATATACTTTCTCTTCCCACCTTTGCATTCATATCCCCAATTATAATCTTGATGTCACCTTTGGGAGATTTAGAATATACGCTTTCCACATCGGAATACCACCTTTCCTTCTCTTCTAGGCAAGTATCTTTCGTCGGAGCGTGCACATTAATGATTGTGTAATTTTGAAATTTACCTTTAAGTCTGATTTTACACATACGTTCATTAATTGGTTGGAAATCAATTACAAGATGTTTTAAGCGTTTGCTCACGACGAAACCCGTTCCAAAGATATGATGCTTTTCATTACAACTATAATATATGGCGAAATCTGGTTTATCAATAACGCCATGTCCTAACCATCTAAGTTCCTGAACCGCTGTTATATCAGCCCTGTGATTTGCAAGTTGTTGACATAAAAGTTGAAGGCCCGCTGGTCTGTACAGTGTTCTCACGTTCCATGTACATAAGGTAAATTCGTTAGCCATTATTGAGTAGCCAGGTCGTTGGTTTAAAATCCGGTCCGTAAGTTTTGCTTTTCCTTTCACAATCGTTTGTGTTCAGACGAGTGGGTGATTAACCCCCTGCGTCCTAGGCCTTTAGTGGGGCTGCCACTTTTGAGCTCAAGACCTAGCTCCGTTTATTTTCGGGTATCGTCCCTTCCGAGGTTGAACCAGTTTTAAGGCGCCGGTTGCTCGCCTTCGCCCTTTGTCCTTAGCATCTGCGCTCTGAGAAAGGGATGGTGATCGTACTTAGAGTACGGGCGCAGAAGGTCCCAGGGGGTACGACGGGGACGTGGACAGATCGGACTGGTTGGTACCTGCATACTTGTACTCCACCATCAGAGCACTGCAGTCAGAAGACGGGCTTTTTATAGAAGACACTAAGCTCGGGTCTTAGCGCCCCCACCCATACCCAATACCAACTTCACCCCCCATCTTATACAGCTGACTGAAACCAATCGTAACTTAGTTATCAAGAGTGTTCATCAATATACTGTTACCAAGTAGCTCTTATTGTATTCCTTAAGTTATATTTTAGACTTTTATATAAGCACTAGCGACTCACTCTCACTCCGCTCGGTTTTATCTAAAGATACGTTTTAATGGTTAGAATAAATTTCTCAGAGATAAGTTTTTTCCCGCAGTAAAAAGTATCCTGTATGTTGATCCTGATAAGTGGCTATCATCATACCAAATTTCATCAAAATCTATCCAGTGGTTTTCTCGTGATGCGTTCCCAGACAGACAGATAGACAGAAAAAAATCTAAATCTATAGATTCCGCCTCTATATCGATAATAATGATTATTTCAATAACATTTTCCAAAAAAATAATAATGTATAGATTCGACTCGGAATTTTATTAGGTATATTTATAGATAACATTTAATAACTACATTTTTTCACGTACATTGAGACAAAATGATTACTCATTCCGTGTTCCGCTTTTTATATTATTTTATACCTGTGACATATTTCTTTATTTATTATATTTAATATTTGTATTATAAAGAAAAAAAAATGAAAGTTTGTATGTAGGGGGAAATCTCTGAAACAACTTCTGGTGCGATTCTGAAAATTCCATCACTAAAAAGAAGATATATTACCACCGAGTGTCATTTTTTTCTCGATAAATATGTGCTTACTGTCAGAAATCATTATAAGTTTAATAGATGTCTGACAAAATAGCCGTCAAGGCACGAGTACTTTATCAGCTATTGTTAAGCTCCTGGGGAGGGTAAGAAGGAAGGAAATGACGGTAACAAGCTAGTACAAAATGTTTTCCATCCTAATTTGGATATCTATACCTATTGAATTGAGTAAGTTACTTAATATAAGGTCGAATAACTGATGAGTCAAATGAACGCAGACTTTGCAACTACTTATTTGCTGCATATACAGACTATACTCGTACAGTGCATAGTAGATATTTGAGGAAGCCATTGTGAATTACAAGTGCGTACTCAAATTTAAAAGCATGACAAGCAATAAGCACACTTTATTGTATCCTCATTTCGAGTGGTGGTTTTTAGCTTCATTTAATATTCACATACTGAGTACTGGACTGACCCTTTATTTAGCGCCCTTTAAGCCTTGTCAGTATCAATTATTACCGCAGTCATGATACTAAAACATAATATATTCCAAGTATGTAAATGGGTCAAAGAAGGTTGATTTCAGGAACCGTGTTTATTATTAACGTAAAATATTATAAACTAGCGACTCACCCTCACTTTGCTCGGTTTCTGCCCTAGGTACACACACACTTTGACATTTATAATATTAGTATGGATAGTTATAGATATATATATATATATATATATATATATATATATATATATATATATATATATATATATATAATAAAAAACGAGACATGTAAATTTTTAATCATACAACTAAATTACATACTTAAGCTAGGTATTTTATTTTTTATTTATAAGAATACCCTAAATTACTAATGTAAGATATCTTTTTACAGAATGTAAATTAATTATTTTGAGCGTATAATTGGAAGAAATATAAAAGCATTTTTGAGTAAAATAAAATATGTAAATGGTCTGAAATTGTTAATTAGGTTTGCAGATTCAGAACACGTTATATCTATGCAAGTAAGAAATTACATGAATACAGAATTGAGAGTCCGAATAATAAAGCGGCTTCTTTTCAACTTACAATTAAAATTTGAAATGTGCAAGTAATATAAAAAATGTTGAAATGTTCAAATAATGATAATATAAAAATTAATAAAAAAATATTACAATATAAAAAAACTTGACTGCGTAAAAAGTACCTAAACTAAAAAGATGAGAAAATGTTGTCGAAGGAACATAGTATTATGCACATATTGTTGGAGACATACACACGGAGCTATGATAAAACATGTATATACATAAGTATTACGTTTAGTAATTATGAGAGAACATATGCTGCCCACCTGAGCCTAAAGTGCAGTAATAGACATTTTGGTCGGTTTTGAGTTAATATATATTCAAAATCCCCATTTTAGTAGCTATCAGTCAAATTAATTCTTTTTTCTGTAGCGCTAATAAAAGTATTTTATTTTAATGTTTTTTCGGAAGGTGTAACAGCAAAAATATCACAAATCTGTTAAAATATTCCATGTTTACCAGCTAAACCGCAGTACAATTAATACTGCACAAGATTTTTCTCTGTTTCCTAACTAAACTGCAGTGTTTTATCATATTTTGTGGCACTTAAAATAGTAGTTTGTTCTAGGAGATTCAAGAAAAAACTTATTAAAATGCAGTATTAACATTCCATACTGCACATTAACTTGTGGGGGATTTTGTAATTTCTTGTGAAAAACTAAAAGACATGCAGTATTTAATAACTTTACTGCAGTTTAACTTGTAGGATGTTTTGTAGTTGCTTGTAAAAGACCATTTAGTTTACAATATTTATAAATTTTACTGCATATTAGTTAGTTTGCTCCATCCAAGTCATACTACCTAAAATACTTAAAGTCAAATACTATTCCCTAATACTGCGTTTTAATAGGTAAAATTATTAAAATATTAAAACACAGGACAGGCAATATCGCGGTTTGAGGCAGTCCTTCTGTCTGTCTGTCTCAAGGATCTGTGGCTTAAGGCTGACTTGACATGCCATGCTGTGTCTGTACCAAAGAGATATGGAGGGTAGAACTAAGGAGAACTATTTCTCGTATAAAAAGTGACCGCTGACAAGCATTAAATTGGTGGCGCCACAGAAAACAAGTATATGAATCTATACATCTATACAGATAAATAAAATTGTAGTGTCTGTTTGTAATGTCAAAATAAACCTTTTCACTAAATGCATATGAAATTATATACGGTACTTATAAGAAAAACTAATTTTTAAAAAATTTTGTCTGTCTGTTTGTTCCGAATAATCTCTGAAACGGCTGGACTGATTTTGACGGACTTTCAGTGGAAGGTAACTGATGTTATAGGGAGTAATATAGGCTACTTTTATTTTTAAAAGAGAATTAGAGTTCCGCTCAAAAAAAAAAGTATCCAGGGACGAACCCGAGTGAGGCGAGGGTGAGTCGCTAGTTTAAAACATAGCGTCATAAAAGTAAGAAGGTGAATTAAACAAGGAAAGAAAGATTTCCGCTTTGCTGTGGCGCACTTTTCAAAATAGTTCTAGCATAGGCAAACAGCAATATAATTATATATTATTTTCAAGTAATAATAATTCAGCACACTTCACTCCGTTAAAAACTACTAACTTCACATCACCTCTACTTGCTACGCTAGTGCTGTAACGGTGAGTTTCTGAGCTATAATTTGCTGCTCACTACTGGACACTTTTTCAACTTGTTTCCCATATAAGTTAATTCTTCTTGGTTCTCCCTTCCATAATCTTTTCAGACTATTATTTTTGTAAGACAAGAATATTCATTTAGTAATTAGTTATGTTCGGAAGAAAGATTTTATGTAAATTTTATTGATCCATGCATGAGAAATACATGTGATATAGTTTTATGGTGGATTAACTAGTTAAGATTATCAACATCTTGTAAAGATTGTTATATTGTTAGTCATATAAAACAATTTACACTATTAGATTATAATGTACAATGTTTTGATGAATAGTTTTAATAGCATAGTCATAAATGCATGTCCAGTTTTGTTT